GATCCAGTCCAGATAGCTGGAGACGCGCGTATAGATGCTGGGCGGGCCGATGGCACAGCCTTGGCCCAACGACGTGATGCCCACCAGATACCATCCACTGTCATCAAACCTCATGACCAGCGGCCCACCGGAGTCACCCTGGCAGGTGTCGGCCTTGCCGCTCAAGTCGCCGGCACACACTTGGCTGGCAGCCAGGCCCTTGGGTAGCTGTTCGCGTGAGTAGTATCCTTGGCACTGGGCGTTGCTGATGTGCTGTAGATCCACCTTGAGCAACTGCGACGAGGAGCGGCCCGCAAAGCTTATCTGTCCGTAGCCAACGGCAATTAGGTCCTTCCTGGCCAACTTCGCATCCTGCCAGAGACTGACGGGAGACAGACTGAACGACACATGTTTCTCAAGCCTCAGCAGCGCAATATCATTGTAGGCGGCATTCTCGTTGTAACCGGGATGGATGAATATACGACGGATCCAATAGTCTTCTGGGTCTGCAGCCATGCTAACGGTCAGATTGTCGCCGCCCAGTCGCACAATTACGGGCCTCTGTCCGCCAAAATCGATGCAGTGCGCTGCTGTGAGCACGAAATTGGGCGCTATGAGACTGCCGCCACAGCGATAGTAAATGCCTTGATCGAAGTTGGAGCGCCAGCCGAGGGCGGCCATAAACGGAAACTCTCGGTATTTGGTCAGACGGCCACCCACAACGGAGGCGACGAAGAAGTTAAATTCCTCGCAGACTGTAAGAGAGCAAACATCGACTGTTAGCAACTTATTATGGATGCATCTCTGTCCTACGCACCTTTACCGCTCTTCCGTTCAACGGGCGGTTTTGGTGATGTTGGCGCCACCTGTGAGTCATCGTCGGGTTGGCTAGAGTTGGAGGCGCAGCACACATACTGATCGAATTTGACAAAGTAACAGGTCTTGGCCAGTGTTTGCTTTAGGGCAGCGGGGCAATCCTGCAGCAGCTTACAGCTGCCTGGGATCTTTTGCTCTTCATCCAGAAAGCATTCGTCAAAGGTTTCCTTGGGAAAGATGATGCCGCGCTGCGACTGTGGTCGAACGGCAAGCTGAGCCGCTGCCAATAAAAAGGTAAACAATTACCAATGGGACTTTTAGCAAGTGGGATTTTTGTGAAAGTGAAATTTTGTAGCTTACCCGCAGCGCCGCTAGGTGTCGCCATAGCGAGGCCGAATAGGAACAACAACAAAGCGTTTGGCATTTTCTCCTCGTTTTTCGTTTTTCTGGCGTTCACTTTCTTCTTCTGTCGCTGCTGTTGCTGGTGGTGCTGCTGCTCTTCTCCAGACCTCGCTTCTGACTGGCTAGCGCTAGGCGCCTGCGCCGTTTTCTGATCGACTGGGAAGCGAAACCAGCCTGTCAACTCTTTCCGAACAAATCACACGCTTATCGCTTTTGCGAGCTGCGCCTCTGGCCTAGCAATTGTTGTTTGTTTGCCTCATAATTAGACTTTGCCAACTCGCGATGTTCGAGAACACGTTCTTGAACGAACTGATACGAAAAGATATTCACCACATTAAAAAGCTAAATTTTGAAAAAGCAAGAAGAAGAACTGAAGCAGTAACTAAAATGCTATAAAAAATTATATTAGAAATACTAATGCCGCTTTATGTGTGGAAATATATGATCAGAAAAATATATGTATACGCAAAAAAATATACGTAAAATGATATATATTTATAGCATACAACTCTATAGATCTAATTTGCAGGGTATTTTTATGGAAGCAGCTAGAAATATTGCTGGAATAGAAATATGTCGTAAATTTGAGGCTAAGCCTCAACTAAATCTACGAAAATCGATATGTTCGAGTCGGGGGAGCTCGACTAAGGAATACCCTGTGCCTTTCGCAAAGCTGCTATTCCAATCATGGCCTTGCTTGGTCTTTACGATGGGACATAATTTGTTGAATAGCTTTTATTCTATTTGGAATTTCTGAATGAAATTTAAATAATGCTAAATTAAATTTAACACTGTTTTACCTATATATGTATGTATATAATTTGCCACGCTATAATTATCTACTATTTCTAAGCGTGGTATGAAATACCAAAAATCGAAGCCAATCTTAATCGATTATTATCGATTCAAATATTAAAATGACAATGATAATAAACCTGATCGATTCAGCTCGTCTCCTTAAAGAGATCCATACCTTTAACCATATAGACCATATGATGTCTGCCACGCCTCTTTCAGCCTGTAACATAAAATGTTACAAATCCGTTATGCTCTACATTCCTAAATTGAAAATGGGAATTATTTGTTTACCGTGAATTCATCAATTCCAATGGATTAGGGGTAAACAAACAGAGCTAGAGTTACAATTAAATAGCCAGATCTTGGTAAAGCTCGTCATAGATCACATATTTTTGCGTTGGTTGGATTTCTGTGGAATTGTTTATGCAGCTGGCTTTGTGCAATGCAGGTGCGCTCGCAGACCGAGATTGGCAGCCTGGAATACCGCACGATATTGGGCAGGTAGCGCATAAAAGCCCAATGCCGACTGGCATTACCGCCAGTTGCCCAGCGTTAGCTAGATAGATCGAGCTTGAATTGCCCAATATGCAGCCCGAGAGTGAAAAGTTATCCATCATGTTGCGTATGATAATCCTGTCGTGCCTGGTGGCGCCAGCGTTCACTTACCTGCCGGATGTCAATATATTCACCAATTATCGCACCGAGGTCTACAATGGTTAGCTAACGGTTACTACCTCTTCCAGTCCTGATTCCGTTTCACATATTTAGTTTATTTTTTTATTTTTCGTTCCACAATCGACAGGCATACCCTCGGACATTGACACGACACCGTTTGTCCGGATCGGCGATAACTATTATTATATCGAGCCGATGAACAAGGTGAACTGGTTCCAGGCAGCGGCCTCCTGCCGGATGATGAACGCCCACCTGGCCTCCATTGAGGACAAGCCGGAAATGGAGGCCCTGGTCAAGCACATCAAGGCCAAGGGGTTCAAGAACAACGACTACTTCTGGATCTCTGGCAATGATCTCGGCACTGAAGGTGCTTTCTATTGGCTCTCGACGGGCCGCCCCATGACCTACGCACCCTGGAACGGGCCCAAACAGATGCCCGACAATTACGGCGGCAACGAGAACTGTGTCCACATGTTCAGCACACGGGAGCTGATCAACGATGCCCACTGCAAAATCCTGATGCTGTACGTGTGCGAGGCTAGCGATCCCAAAACCTTCAAATTCACTTACATCAAGTGGTGAAGCGTGTTGAAGCCGTTATCAAGCAGAGACATATATAACATACGCATACATACATACATTTATATTTGGCATTGTTTTTTTTTCTAAGTTCCTGTTTTGTATTTGTCTTTCTTTTTTTGTTTTTTTTTTTTTGCGTGCATAGAACACGGCATTTATTAGGCGGTTGCTAATGCAACGGCTTTCACTTCATCATTATCATTATCATCATTCACATTATGATCGTTATTCGTCTTACGCATCAATTTGCTAGGTATACATTACACATCAGTTGATTTTACGTTTTATGCATATAATAAATTTGTTACGAATTCATCTTAAATAACTATAAATTTGTTACCATACATACATACATATATATAGATATATTTATCGTATCCTCGTAGCTCGTCTTATTAGAATTGCCTACATATATCGTGAGTAACAATCGATGTAGCCGATAGTTGTACATCGATATACCTATGCACACACACACATATGCATATACATATGTATGTATAGGCATGCACTTTGAAAAATACACAAACTAAATACAATGCTATTATATATATATGTGTGTGTGTATATATATAAAAAAAAAGACATTTACATATTACAGCTTACTTGGCTAGGCAAACAGTGATCGGATATTGGAAAATTTACTTCATAACCTCAACACTAATATCGAATCTTGTTTAACTAGTATGCGTCCTGTCAAAGTCTGACTGTATGTGTGTGTGTGTGCTACAAACATACATACATATGTATATATACATATGTGTGTGTGTGGGTTTCTAAGTCTTAGAGCTTTAGCCTAACCTAACATTTGTTTTGTTTACTTCTTTTTTGTAACTGTTTTACACACGCACGCACAACTGCAGTCATATGTATGTTTGTACATCTGTGTGTATGTACGCTTGCATATTTATCAATTAGTTCATATATTACCTACACATTATTTATATATATACATACATATATATTTATTCAACAGATGAGTGCATAATTTTAATAATTCTTATGGGTTTTACTTTCGACATTCTAACATTTGCATATGCCTATTTATGTATGTATGTATATGTGTGCGTGCGTGCGTGCATACAGCATGCAAGCGTCTGTGTGTGTGTGTGTGTCTGTGTCTGTGTAGGTGTAAGGTGGGCTTCAAAGCAGCTGCCAAATTGCAAGCTCTTTCTCCTACTCACTCTATAGCTCTCTCTTTCTCCTTCTCTCTCAGCTGCTAACGAGATTGATGATTGTGCTTGTTTGTGGGAGGGAAGGGGGCCGGGGAAAATATTCAATTTTGCAGTTGATAGTCGAGAAAACTTAGCCAACACTGGCGCACACAAGGACGACGCATAAGGCTGCCATATCTTCACAAATTTCTGATTTCTTAACTATTAGAAAAAAAAAAAATAAATAAAGGAAAGAACAGCCTAAATGTTATACATATACAAAGTCTAAATGTTTTTTCTTGTTTCATTTTTTTTTTATCGATTTTAAAAACCTCTCTCAAAATGGCAGTACGTTTAAGATTTAAGACTTAAATAATGGGGAATCGAAGAAGATCTAGGACCAATGGGAGCATTCTTTGCCGGAATAAACTAACAAAAAGAAACCATATATCCATCCATATATATATATGAATATATGAATCGAGATATATGTACATAATATGTACACTAATAAATGGCAGGAATTGCATAAGTATATGATAATGAATAATATTACAGTTTTTTGTTGTTGGTTTGTCGGTTTTTCTTTTTTGTTTTGTTTTATCTCGTTTTGTTTTCTTTTTTTTTTGTTTTGCTTCAAAACACATCGCATTCGCAATGTGCCGTTACAATTTTTGTTTTATGTGCAGAACTTTTAAATATAATAATCATAATAGGGATATTCAATAATGATAATAATAGTAATAATATTGACAATAAAAACATTCAGGCATTAATAAAAAGATGCAGCTTCTTACATTATTATTATTATTTTTTTTTTGCTTACTTTTGTTTTTCCTCTTCTTCTTCTTTTGGAGCTTATAGAAATTACATAATGCTACTAGTTTCTATATGATCTATGCATGTAATTATATTAAATTTTCTTTATGTTTATATTAATTTTCTTCTTTTCTCTCATTGTTTAGGGCTTTTTCTTTCTCTCTTCTTTCCTCTTCTTCGCCGCGCAATTTCACTTAATAATATTAGCGTGATTTTTGCGCGTGGTTTTGCTGCTGCTTGATTTCTTGCATTCGCTTATTTTTGTTGTTAAACATTTTCTTTTCCTACGATTTGTTAAACAGTTTTCTTTTTTCGGTTCATTCGAGCCTGTTGATGCAGCACTCCTAAGCTATATAAGCAAAGTAATTCATTACAAAAAAAAAGTTTAGTTTTATAACTAGGGAAACAATATATATATATATATGTATATATAAAAAAAAAATAAAACACCTAGTTCTCTTATAACTATATAATCCTATACAATTCTTGTTATTAAAATAATATTTCATATATATATAGTATACATATAAATATTTTCATATATATGTGTGTGTATGTATATATACGTACTTAAATTTCATACTTCACATTGCGCTTCACATAATCTTACATTATGTATTATTTTTGTTATTTTTTTATATCTATGTTTTCTTTTTTAATTTTAGAATTTATTTTTTTTTTAGTGGCTTTTTTCATATTTATTTTAAAAACAAAATGAAATACCAACTAGCGCACGAATAGGGAAAAGTGTCAAGTTAACTAACTGTATAATATATACATATACATATATATATATATTATACTGTATTTAGGAAAGTTGATGTTTGTGAGTATGTGTGTTAAAGGCGCAAGCGAGACAGCAATACATGTACAGTACATCGATTGTTAATGGATCGAATGTAGTTGTCTATATATTTTTTTCTATGCAGAGAGGAGTACATACAGCTATAGTTACATTAAATTTCAAATATACATATAGGTATGTATAACTCTATATATATACGGGTGTATGGCGCTTTTCTCTTATTTCCATTAGTTTTTTTTTTTATTAAGATATATCTATTTTATTTTTTTTTTTTTGCTTTTCATTCTTTATTTTATTATTTTTTTTTGTTTGTTTGTTTGTTTCTTTTTTTTTTTCTTTTTTTGGAAGGGATTTTTGGGTTGAGTATATAATTTGTTATATTCATTAAGAATCTTGAAATGCAAAATTGCTACTAAAAGAAGTATATATATATATATATATATATATAAATATATTATATATATATATATAAATATATTATATATATATATATATGAAGTATGCATATATAGAAATATATATATACACTTACCCATACGCTTACATTTGCGATACGTCTACAAGCAATACATCAATAATTATTATGTATACCCATACATGGCTATATGCACATATACAACATAGACATATATATATATATATACGTATATATCTACATATACATACACATATATAACTAAAGATTTGAATAAATGAATGATTGTGAATGCGAATGTGAGTCTGCTATTCAAACTATCGAGAGACAAAAAAAAATAAAATTATATATGTATATATACATATAAGAGAGAAATAATCATATAGTCGCTATCATAATATTCTTGACGCACGCAGCTATTTGTAGATTAATGCACATAACGGACTATTGCCATCTCTCGCTATCTCGCTATCTCACTCTTCCTTCCCATCATTTCTTCTATCTCTGTTTTCTCAATTCGTCTCGACTCGTCTGGACTAACTGGACTATCTGTTTCTATCCCACTCACTGCGCTTGCTATTTTGCTTGCCTGGACCAGAGCTTTGGAATATTAGAATAGCATTTGAGCATCCTTCTTAACGATCGTCTGTTGTAGCCACCTGGCCGGAAGCCGAATCAGCGGACTCACCACCAGAAGCGCAGCGTGGGGAGCGGGGCGACGAACTGGAACTGCCAACTGAGGATTCAGACGATATAGAAATGATTGAGGAGGATGAGTTAACCAGGCGCGTATCGCGCATTTGCTGCAAGCGGCTGTGGCCGCCGCTATGGCTGCTGCTGTTGCTGCTGCTGCTGCTGCTGCTGCTGCTATTACAGCTAAGCACGATCGCTGCGGCGCCAGCTGTTGTGCAGGAGGATGATGATACTGTGGGCGTACCTACCGCTTTAGATACGCCGGTTTGGAAATGCCTACGGTGCTGCTGTTGCTGCTGCTGCTGCAGTTGCTGCTGATGGAGATGAAGCTGCTGCTGCTGCTGCTGCTGCTGATGCTGATGATGATGATGATGATGCTGATGCTGTTGCTGATGGTGTGGATGATGATGCTGCTGAAAGGTACTGCTGCCACTACTACTATTGCTGCTGGACAGTCGCAGATGCTGCGGCCGTTGCTGCTGGTGGACATGATGGCTGCTATAGCTGCTCGGCTGCACATTGGAAATGGTCTTGGTCAGTTGTTGTTGTTGTTGCTGCTGCTGCTGCTGTTGCTGCAACGGCGGTGGCACATAGAGCGGTTGGCGGTAATACGAACTGTTGTGACTGCGCTGACCCACCGACTGTTGGCCATAGGTTCGCGTTACACTGTTGCTGTTGCCACCGCCGCATCCACCACCACCACTGCTGCTGCTGCTGCTGCTGGTGGTGATGGTGCTACTGCTGCTAATGATGTTGCTGCTGATGGGCTTGCTGTTGCAGATGGCTTGGACGTGGCTGGTTGTGGTGCTGCTGGTGTTGGTGTAGACATGGCTTTGGTTTACTGCGTGATCCTCCAGTACTTCCCCCGGGGCATCTCGTAGTTGCTCCACGTCTGGCTGTTGTAGTTGTGAAGAAGATATACATGTATGTTGACTTGGCTGGGCCTGTGGCTTGGCTGGCATGCTGGCCGCAGTTGCTGCTCCGGCGGCGACGACGCCGCCACCGTTGGTGCGCAACAACAATTGGGCACGTGGCGTTGCGATATTTGAATTGGGAGCAATTGCGGCCAGCATGGCACAGCCTACGACCTGCTGCTGCTGCTGCTGCTGGTGCTGCTGCTGCTGCTGCATGAGGCCGGCAGCCATTCATCATGTATCTATGCGTGTAGGTGTGTGCATTACCGACGAGCCCGACAACGAGCTATTGCTGATCGCCACCATAATCGGCTTGGGCACGGTCACTGGCATCGCTGTCACATCCAGTCCGTTCGGCGGCGAGGCGGTGATGTCAATTATTTCCATTGCCTGCTGCCCGATCCCGATGCCAGTCAGCGACTCTCTATCCCGGTCGCCAACCTCACAGTCTTTGCTATCCTCGCTGTCCTCCGCCGACGAGGTGCTGCCTCGCCGATGACGCAGCGCCGACATGCTGTTCAGATTGCCAACCAGCTGGCCCTGCGGCTGCAGCTGGTGTTGCTGCTGCTGCTGTTGCTGCTGCTGTTGTTGTTGCTGCTGCTGCTGGTGTTGTTGGTGCTGTTGCTGGTGCTGCTGCTGCTGTTGGGCAGCCGCGGCCACTGCCGCCACAGCTGCCGTATGATATGGTTGCGTCAAAGCGTGCGGCTGCAGCACCGGATGATATATCTGATGCACCACGGTGCCAGATGGCAAGATCACATACTTGGCAGCGCCGTTGGCGTAGGTGGGCAGCGACGGCATCGGATCCATGGCCGTTAGATATTCAAAGTTCTCGCGTATCCACTCGCGATAGTCAATGACGTCATCGGTAATGTGAATTATCCGACCTACGGACATATCAATAATAGTATAAATATTCCCATGGAATAGCAATCATCATCTAAAACTCACCCAAGATGGACGTCTCACGCACATCGTTACCCCAGAGATTGGAATCGCTCACAGCATTGTTGATCACACTGAAAGCACATCGGAAGGCCTGACGCACATGGAGGGCACCGTAGCTGCTGCGTCCGATATCGTTGCCGGGCGTCAGAGGATCCTCGATGCAAAGCAGTGACGGCCTGTGTCCATCGACCATGTCCCGCTGCAGTTCGTCCTTGGGCATATAGCGGCCGCCGTTCTTAATCGAAATACCAATATTAATATAGTTAAAGCTCTGTCCGTACAGCTCAAAGAACTCGAGCAGCAGCACGCCCAGATTCGTCGTGTCATGGTATATGCCACGCGGATGCAGTTGCAGGAAGCTAATACACATGAGTATCAGTGAGTACGATGAGATGCCGCCGGTGAACACCTCGTTGAGATCGCGCAGCAGTAGGAACTGCTTTAGCACCAGGACTAGCTTCCCCAACACCGGATAGTCGCGCTTAAACTGTTTGATCAGCTCCGCTGATTGCACGCCCGACTGCATATTGAACGATATGTCGACCTTCACCTGTGTCTCCCGGTCCGTCAGCTTTATGATCGGGACGGACGCCTTGTCTAGCACACGGACCGTACACGCCTCGGCGATGCCGCGCGCAACCAGCTCGAATTCGAGAGTGCGCAGCGGTAGCTTCTCCCAAAGGCCTGCAAAACAAATGCAACAAATGGGGCAACAGGAGAGAGAAAAGGACGAGGTGGTGTAGACAGAAAATGAGAGAAAAAGAGAGAGAGAGAAAAAGAAGAATGAAAAAAGAAAGGTTCATTATTAACAAGCCATTGAAGTAGATGTAAACAGTTGTTCCAAGCGATCTAAACATCAATTGTGCGCTAGTCGGGTGTGCCCGACTAGTGGATACTCTGTGTAGGGTTACCCGCAATCAATCCAGGAAGGTATCAATATTCCAAAATGTACCAATTCAGTGTACTCATGCGAGGAACATACACAGCAATTTAGAAAGCTTTAGCTTAAGTGGTATTGAAGTTAAGCCTAAAATCCCATATCGACTAATAGAGTAATAGGATGACTTATCGAAACTTATCATCCTACCGAAATGGGACAGAAATATTTTGAAAGTTTGCAAGTTGCACTTAAAAACCCACATTGGGGTTTCGATAATCATAAAAAATTGAGTAATGGCATGACTAATTGATAAGTGATATATTCGTTCTGCACAGAATATACGGGAATTTTATTGGAAGTCTTCAGCTTAAATGGTTTACAAGACAGACAGACCTACATACCTATATAGACTCAGAAAACCATTACCACCTGCATTAGATTGGTATAAAAATAGCTCTCGATGAGTCTTGTTAAGCAATTTCAAAGTAAAAGTCAAGCTAAAGCTTAAGAGAATTGCATTGTGCCCATTGTCTTAAGTTCTCTGTGGAATGAAACCCAAATTAATAGTGTTAGTCATATATATAGAGCAATTATTTTTGAGTGACTATTTTTACCATCTAATACATATGCATATACATATATATGTATGTATGTGTGTGTAAATGGTAAAAATAGTCACACGAAAATAAGTACGGTAAGATCTAATGCGTATCCCTATTATAAAATGAATATCGTTTAAGAACCAAATAAATATATGGATTAGTTGGATTAGTTAGCGGAGATTATTAGCTTTATTTTTTTTATATCTCTTCGTTAGCTTACCTAGTACCACGAGATCAATGTCGGAGGTGGGCAGAAAGAGGCCGGTGCGAAAGGAACCAAAAATTTCGACCACGGCCTGCGGCCATATGGAATGGACAACGGATTCGATGCGCTTAACCACTTCGTTGCGTATGGCATGCTCACAGGCGGTGGGCAGGACATACTGATAGAAATGATCGATCTCCTCGTGCAGTCCAATGATGCCCTTGCCATACTGATAGTCGCGCACACGCCACGGACAGCCCTTGTATTTGGCAATCATGTCGGCGTGCTTGGTCAGATTCAGTGTGCTCGATTTGTTGTCCACGACGCGTTTCCTGCGCGAAGGATTGTAATAGGTGTTGGCGCGCTCGTGCAGCGGCACCTTTGACGCGGGATTGGCTATGAAATTGGTGCTACTACTTCGGCTGGTGCTGCTGTTGCTATTCGTGTTTGTGGTCACGGTGGTGCTACTGGTGGTGGTGTTGTTGCTGCTGCTGCTGCTGCTAGTGGCTGTGGTGGAGGTAACGGTGGTACTATCACCACCGGTCGGCGTCGTTGTACTGCTCACAGCTGTTGTTGCTGTTGCTGTTGTTGGCGTTGTTGCAGCAGTGCCGGTTGCTGCAGGTGCTGCTGCTGCTGCTGCTGCTGTCACGTTGCTACTGTTCGCGCTGGCGCTGATGCTGCTACTGCTGCTGCTGCTATTACTCGCTGGTGAGTTATTGTCGTTGTTCGATGTTGAATCGATGGACGTGTTGCTAGAGCTTTTGCCTCCGTTAATGCTGCTGCTGCTGTTGTTGTTGTTCCCGTGTCGTGCTGGCTGCTCGTTCAACTGCTGAAGAAGAATTTGTAATGAGTCAGGATCGCGCAGACTGATCGTAGAATCGTTGTTAACAATCCTAGATGTTGCGTTGGTGCTGCTGCTGTTGCTGCTGCTGCTGCTGTTATTGCTACTAGTACTGCTGCTGCTGTTATTGGTATTGTTGTTGTTATTGTTGTTGCCGGTATTGTTGCTGGTGCTATTTCCGTTGTTGCTACTGTTGTTATTGTTGTTGCTCTGCTGAAGCTGTTGCTCTAGAAGTGGACCCATTTCCTGGGAACTCGTTTCCCAAATCTTTAACCATGTGCGCAGCGCTGGTCCCTCCTGTTCCTCCTGAAACCAGCCAACACACGGATCCATTCAAATGGGCGTTTTGTGTGCTGGGCAGCGTTTACGCTCCTTCTGATTTCTCTGTATCTCTTTCTATCACACACTCACACACACACACACACACTCTATTTTTTTTTCTCTCACACACTTGCTCTCTCTAAAGACCTCTATCACCCTCTCACTATGTCACTGTCGGTGTGTGTTTTTAAATGTATGTGTGTATGAATGTGTATATCTGAGTCTATATATATTTAATATTTATATATATATAGATCTAAATATTGATGTTTATGTGTAGATCGACCGACGCCGCCGCTGTTCCTGTTCCTGCCGTTGCTGCTGCTGGCGCTGTTGTTGCGGAGCTCTGTTGTGTCGAGCGGCGCGTAGTTAGACGTACTGCAAATGCATCTGCATCTGCAATTGCAATTGCAATTGCCTTTGGCTCTGGCTCTGTCTCTGACTATGTCTCCAGCTGTTTCTCTGGCGCAGCATCGGCGTTCGTTCACAGCGGTGTGGTGCAAGGCGGTGTCGTTGTTGTTGTTGTTGTTAATGATGTTGTTGTAGCTGTAGCAGTTGTGCTGCCTGTGAGCAACTAAGCAAAGCTTGTCCGTCTAATCTCTGACGGTTTTCATAACAGTCCAACCAAATGTGCAACTTACTCACTTTTTAAATTGGCAACTTGTTTGCTTGATAAGGCTACGCCCTGATATTTCGTCTCAAGCGTCGGCAACTGCAATTAAAAATAAAAGTTTTTTTTTTTTTTTTTTAATTCAATCAACTAAATATGCCAAATATATACATATGAATCGATTCCAGCATTTAATTTTGCATTAACACACTGACGCAGCGTTGCCACCTGATAAAAATCATTGTTCAGCGCCGACACATTCATAGCAACTCACATTCACTCTCTATTGGGCTATCGCTGTTTCCCCCAAACGAGAATAGAGAGAGATCATGCATCATTAATGGACTTGTGACGTCAGGAATGCTCGATCTCATTGGACCATACACACACACACACACACCTACACCCAATGATCGCATGCGTTATCAAGAGTGGATTTAACTAAATAGAAAGCGCAAACAATTGCATTGCAAATTATGCGCTATTTTTCTACAAATAGAAATTCATTGGCGCCGCCTTTGCCACTGCAGCAGCTGCAAGCCAAATGCAGCTGAAGCGTAGAGAGCACCACCGGCGACGGCGGCGGCGCCTCAGCGATTCATTTTTATACACATTTTTTTCTTTCTTCTTTGCTGAGTACAAATGCGCTTAGCACTAGCCGAAATCGACAAGAAGCAGAGCCAAATGGGCCAAAGAAGACAATAAAATACAAACATACTTATGTTTATATATATATATGTATGCACGTACATATAGAAACACACATGCATGCGTTTTTGTTATCGCTTTGGCAAGCGAGCAAGCAATGCTCACGAGACTACCGCAAATCACATCGTTTAGCTGTGTGCACGAGCGTGTCTATGTATGCGTGTGCGCGCTCGTTTGCGTGTGTGTATGTTTGTGAGCAAGGGCGTACAGGTGGCTTATGGCGTGGGTGCCGGAGCGCGGGCAATGCAAATAGCGCGCACATGTATGTACATTAGTGTTGATTATGCAAAAAAATGTAAATACAAAAAATTTATATTAAAAATTAACTGTTAATCGTGTGTATTTTTTTCAACGTTTAAGCACACGTTTGTACGCTTGCACTACTAGTCCACTTATATTGCAAAAACACTCACACTCACATTTCACATTATATTAACGCACGCGACAGCCGTTATATTTACCAGTCAAAATATCTTAGTTGCAGCACCTTCAACGCTTAATATGACAAAAACACAGTCATATGCATGTTTTTACAACATGCATACACCCACACATACATATATATATATATATATATTTATACTTGTATATAAATTTATGCACATATGTATGTATATATATACAGAATTTGGCTAATTAACACTTTCGGCTTTTTGTGGGGTACGAGAAGACAGGGAACACGATGTTCGTTTTGACAAATGTGTATTGTAAATGAGAATATCAAATAAATAAATAAAACGATCGACAGTGTTTTAGAGCTCTGCACTGTTAGCACATATATTATACAATATACTAGTTTCGAATTGTTTAAAACTTTTTTTATCCGCGATGTGTAATATTCAGAGCAGCTCCTACTGTTTTACTCCAGCGCTGCCGCATGCAGGGATGAGCTATCGTAAATATCGATATACATCATATGACATCGATTATTTGGTGAATTTTGTTAATTTCAAATTCGAAATTTGAATGTTCACCCAAGGGGCACATTCTCATTTAAACATCGGCAAAATCCTCAATGAGGCTAGTTCAAGCATAAATTATTACATAACTTTCAAAATAACAAATGTAAATATTTGATCAATTGTTTGGTGCTGCAGACAAATTATTGTCACTGCATTCATTTTATTCGTGACACAGTGAAAATTGATTTGAATTTTACCCGGCAAGAGCAGATGTTGCAAATGTAGGTCGGCGTTGCCACCTGATTTTAAATCACTTTAAAGTACTGCGCAAAGTCGACAACTGACAGGCTAGTAAACATTTAATTTATGCAACTGCCCACAATTAGTGATAAATAAAAAAAAGGACATTGCTTGACAATAAAAAATCAGATTAGACAAATTGTCACTCCTCTCGAAAATAGTGCGTGTGGTAGCGCACCACAGCCACCCTCTGGCCTCCGCCCAAAACTACACTACTACTGATACTACTACAAATGCAAAATGTAACTTGCACATACACACACACGGACGCATGTTCATATATGCAATGAGAGCAATACGCAACCGACCTCACACATATATGTGTATGTGAATACACATATTCTAAAAGAGAATCTGATTTAACTTCTTTCCTGCCTCCGAATAGCTTCTCGCGTAATTCCGTTGGAATTTTTCACACACATTTTTTCTTTACCTTGACGAGTTTGTTCTCGTTGCGTTTGCGTTGTATTTCAAGTTTAGCAAATACACATACACACACACGCACTAGTAGTACACACACAAATACATGCACATGTTCACCCAAACGACGATTCAGTGCGATTAAAGTTTCTTTTTGTCTTCAATTAAATGAATGTTTGACTAAATTTGGATGAAAAAGCAAAGAAAAAAAAAAACAACAACAAAAAACAATTACCCTCCCCAAGATTCATTTGTCATCGTTAACAAGCGATTCATGCAATTGCTGTGCGCTTGCAGCATTTGTGGCAATCCTTATAAGCACAATTTAGTGCTTTCATGCTTTGGGAACCTCCGCTTGTCTGGTTGCTATGCCTTTTATGCACATATACACACTCACAAATATGGACATACATACACACGCACGAAATAGTTCTTTCGAGAATCGCTTATTACCGTTTGCGATTGCATTCAGCTGTAGATAAGTTCGCTAGTTGATTACAATCAATGTGCACTGTTTGTTCAGTGACTTTTGGAATTGGTAAATTTGCGTTTTTAAATAAATTAAAAAACGCCAGCGAAATTGCAATTTATCTACGAACACGCGACGGCTACGCAGTATTAGAGATTGACAATATACAACGATAGTGTAGCTTCGTTCATATCGATGTTAACGATATTAGTGCATGAGCTATCGATATATGCCAGAGCAGACATGTAGCTCTTGTCGGATAACTAAGCGATTGTTATTGAAAATTCAAATTCAAAACTCGAATTATTTTTATTGAATTCACAATTGCCAACAAGTTTAAATTCATTTTTTTTTTTTTTTTTTGCCTTTGTTGCATTCACAAAAAAACATCATTTTCATTTATTGTTTTCGATTTTGTCAATTTATTAGCTTTGTTTGCTCTTCTTGAATTGTTTGAATTAGTTACATATAACCTTTTTTGTTTTCCAATTACAAATGAAGTACACACAGACAGGCTACGAATTTATAATTTTTTATTGTTATACCTTTAACTGTTGTCTTGAAACCAAAAACCTTCGTTACGCCGTGTCATTGGAAATGACAACATAAAGTATTTTTCTAATTTGTTTATTTGGTCATTTAGTTGGAGTTGATTTCTGTTTTTTGTTTTTTTTTTGTTTTGCATTAGTTTGTTTCTTAAGTAGACTATTTTTGGAAATTACATAAAATGCGCAATGTACTTCTCTATATGTAATACATAGATGTTTTGTCTATATGTATATATATATATATGTATATTGGATTTATTCTTTTTTATTTCAATAGCTTTTTTTCTTAAACATTTATAAATATGTATTTCGCTTTACTATGTTTCGTTTAAATGTTTTTATTTTTATTTTATTTAATTTTTTTTTTTAGTTTTTCGTTTTCTAAACATTTATTAAGAGCGGCATACTCAACAATTATTACATACAGAGTTGTTTGGGCTTATAAGTTCTTATATATGTTTGTGTTTAAGTTAGAATTTAAAAGTTCTTTTTATGATGCTCCCGACATAAATCTGTGTACAACATTTAAAGCTTGACTATTATTTCCTTTTCAGATTTACCTATTATTGTTTGTTTGTTTTCATTTTTTCTTTTTTTTTTTTTTGTTTTTATCATTCTAGGGCTTATACCCTACCATAGAACTTAGCCACTTTCAGGGGCATATTGACGCAACATTCAACACCTATATATATAAATATATTCATTTAGTTGTTTCGTTTAGGTTAATTAAAGTTAATGGTAAAAAAATCTAAAAAAAATGGTTTCCCTCCTTTTTGTTTTTCTTATTTTTACTCTTCTTCTTATTATTTGCTTGTTTGCTTCTGTTTTTCTACATAGCACACAGATACTTCGTCTAATGATGTTATTTACTATACTTGCTAGTCGAGGACATCATATATTGAATTTTTCTGCCTCTTATAGTTTTGGCCTTATTCGTGTTTTGGCCCAAGCTTCGCTTAACGGTTCATTATTATTACATTTTTTTAAATTCATGCTAGCGCTTGTAGTGCTCTAGCATTGACAATTAGAATATATTTTTTATTTGTATTTATTTTACTTAAGCATTACGATTACCTAGAAAAAAAAAAAACAGTTTATTGCTAATTTTAGTCCATGGCATATTACGGAAGTTGCTTTCAAGTTTTTATTTTTGTATTATTCCATATTTGGCTTAGCACAGGACTTGAATATATGAATATAGTCGCTTTTTAGCGACTATCAAATTTATTATTTAATGAATTCATTTATATTTTCATTTTCTTTCAACATTTAAAAAGAAAGCATTTATTCGAATACCCGTTCACGTTGGGATTAGAGGGTATACTAGTTCCTTGATGTCTGTTCGACTGTGCGTATAGCTTGACAGCTGAGATGTTAATATAATGTTATAAAATATAACAGCTCTATAGTTTGTAGTTCTGCTGAATAAAGGCGGGGCAAATAAATAAAAATCTGTATTTTCTACATTTTTACTGGGATTATGGATCTGTCCCGGAGATAGATGGCTGAACTCGGCACTTTTGTGCAACATTTTTATGCTTATGTACCGTGAACGAGTATTATGCAGTCGGTAGCACCGAAAATTTTCGAAATTTTTCATTTTACTTTCAACGCTTTCAACTACATTTAAGTTTCTTTTTCTTATTTTTTTTTTTTTTAACATACAAGTTGGACATAAAATAATGATGTTGTTTGTGTTGTTGCTGTTTAAAATATTAATTATAATATTCTTAATATATACAAAAAATAACATTCAGTCAAATATATATATTTATATATACATATATATGTATATGTATGTATATATATAATGTGTACATATGTTTGCTATATATTAGCATAGCTATTAATCTAAACCAATCTGTAAACCACAAGACAGACATACATAGACACATACACATACACACAGTCACACACACACACACAAGCACACCCACATATAAACATGCACACACACATACAATTATATCTTTATAGACATCAACAATTAAACAAAGATTCCATACATAAATATATATGTATATACATATATACACACACATACATATTTACATGTGTGTTGTATGTATACATCTCTCTGCATATATCTGTACTATCGCATAAACTACAGTTAATCTGAAAATCTCAAATGCCAATGCAGTTCTAGCATCCAATTTAGTTCCATATTATTTCCCCTACGATATCCATTAACTTTTCAATAGACCCCACGACAAGCGATGCCAATCAATTTGCTTTGTTTATTCGTTCTCTTATCATCATGTAAAACACAATAATGTTTTCTATTCTCTTTAATAATCAGTCGCATAAATGAATCACCTTGCTTTTCTTTGCATTACAAAAATTCTTTAGCTGGCCCAATTATCGCGCATCTCAGCATGCATACCATAAAAAAAAGTACTTAAAAAATACTAAACATAATATATAGTTAAAGATGAAATACCCTTGTAGACATAATACATCTCTTCTATTTATACTAATATTACGATATTCAATTATCGTGAAAGCCGGCTAAAATTTCAAGATATTTCCAATATGGACTATCCAGATTATGTTGCACTTGAGTGTAGCTGAATAAATGACAAATTCATTATTGACGCATTATTTCTATGGCAGTAATTCGATACTAGATGATAAACTGAAAATTCCCAATAAAAACCCCTCCCAGTCGAGAGAAGAGCTAGCACAGATATAAACAGATCGAGAACAGATATACACATTGACATATACTTTATAAAGTGCTAGTATTTTAATTTTGCTAAAAATACTATCTACAAGAGTTTCCTATAAACAAAAGTACAATTAATAAATAAAATAGAAAACCTATAACACTCAAAAATACTAATAAAATACTGGGCATAAAACACATAATATAATAAGTATTTCCCAATCATTCAACACATTTTTCACTTTCCCAGTCGCACGTAAAAATACTGAACAAAAAAATACTAAGCCTATTATTGGCTGGTGATCAGGGAGACATTAAAAATGTCCCTTTGTTCATTTTAATTTAACAATTTATATTTAACAAAATACTTAAAAAATATCAAACAAAGTTTTCAACAAAAAATAACAATTTTTCTTAAGGAAAGTAAGAGTCACACATACGTAATCCAGCACACTCTTATACATGCACTCTGAGACAAACACTTATACACACACTCTTCTACATACACTCGTCTACACACATACTTATAGACACATTCTTCGTCGTACACCCTTATACATACACTCTGCTACTCTTCTATATAACACTCTTACACGCCCACCCTTATACATTCACTCTTGTACAGACATCCATACACACACTCTTATATCAACTCCCTAGAAGAACGTTTACATAAGAGTGTGTGTATCTCTTATACACTCACTCTTATACAGATACCCTTCCACTAACACTCTTATACAGACATCCATAAAACACTCTAGAAGAGCGCTAGCACAAGAGTGTTTATCTCTAATACACTCACTCTTATACACACATTCACACACACTCACACACACACACACTCTCATAGAGCACACGGAGTTCTCTAGTATTGGACTTGCTAATGGTGAATGATGCGCATCTTTTTGGCCAACGTTGTTTCGGCCTGTTGGAGCTTGCGTTTGCTGCTGTAGTTGCAGAGCTTGTTGGAGACTTTGCTAAGGGTCATTGCCGATGAGGTGATGAGGTCGAGTGCTTGTAGACTGTTGTCGAGCTCGTCGAGAGCGGAGAGCGGTGTTGTGGCTGGTGTTGTCTGATTGTGGCGCTCGCCGGGATCGAGATCGATATCGATTAGCTGATTGGCCAGCGGATCCTCGTCGTAAGGATCGTAGGGGGGTCTTAATTATTGTTTAAACACAAATAGACCCGTTGGGTCCCACTCGTTGTCGTCGACGGGGCCGAAGCACTCATCGAAATACCATTCCATGGTCTTATAGACATGGCTCAGCGAACGGGTGATCGCATGATCCTCATCTGGATAGACCTGATGACGGAATTTCACCTGCTGATCGACCAATGCCCGCACCAGCATCAGCGTATGCTCCTGATGCACCAGCGTATCCGCTGTGCCGTGCATTAGCATCAGATTCCGTCCCTTTATATTGCCCGCCTTCATGGTCAGATCCGACTCCTGCAGAGCGCGCAAATAGTCGCCCTTCAGCGGTATATAGCGTTCCGTGAAAAATGAATCTGGTAAATGAACGATATAAGATAGGCAATATAGAAGATTGTTAGCATTTATAGGATATAGTGATTATACTAGAGATCTGCGAGAGTTTCTATCCAAATGGAAAGGTATCCAAATGGTAAGGTATTTAAGGACTGGCAATACTTACAATGATAGCCAAAGCTCACGATCGGATTGATGGCAACGGCGCACTGGAGCACCTGCTGCGAATCATCGATGAGCATCATGGAGGCGGCGTAGCCGCCGTAGCCCCAGCCAAAGGCGCAAATGCGCAACGGATCGATGAACTTGAGATTATCGCGCAAATAGCTGAAACGATCTCAGGTTAGGCAAACATTGGGTGAGTGTGGCGACAGCTATGGGACTTACGTGAGTACGCCGAGCTGATCCTCCACCTCGACGGTGCCGAGCTTGCCATGCACCTGGGTGCGCAGTAGTTCACCCTGGTAGCCGCTGCCGCGTCCATCGATTTGGGCCACAATAAAGCTGCGCTGGCTGCACAGATACCAATTCCAATCCACCTGGAAGCGCTCCGTGACCAGCTGTGAGCCAGGCGCAGCGTCGCTATAAGGGAAGCAGATTGTGGATAGGGATATATAGATAAATGGATGGTATATAGATGAAGAGATATACGATATACGGATATAAAGATGGATATAAAGATAGATGTATGGATTTATAGATTTATGGATTTATAGATATAAAGATATAAAGATATATAGATTTATAGATTTTCAGATTTAAAGATTTATGGATTAATAGATTAATAGATATATAGATTTATAGATTTATAAATTTATAGATTTATAGATTTAAAGATATATAGATATATAGATATATAGATTTATAGATTTATAGATTTATGGATTTATAGATTTATAGATTTATAGATTTATGGATTTATAGATTTATAGATATATAGATTTATAGATTTATGGATTTATAGATTTATGGATTTATGGATTTATAGATTTATGGATTAATAGACTTATAGATATATAGATTTATAGATATATAGATTTATAGATTTATAGATTTATGGATTTATGGATTTATAGATTTATAGATTTATAGATTTATAGATTTATGGATTTATAGATTTAT